TATAGCAAAATCATAATTTATAAGTTTTATTTAGAGGTTAGGTACATAGTTTATTTACACTTGTTTATTTCATAAGGTTGTCAGTAATTTGATAATCTTTGAAATCAACACACATGCTCAACTCTTACGTTACGGACATTTATAAATAGACTTCATTTTTATATCTTAGGTTAAGTTTCTACGGCGTTAAGTTACGTTACGGTGGTTATAAATTATACTTTAGACTTAAAAATTCCACTTCAAAAATCAAATATTATATTTAGATCTTTCACCAAAAACATTTTTTATCCAATTGGAAAAGCAACAGTATCTGTACGGTACCATGATAAGTTTTCCAGAAAATAATTTTTATGTCGTTCAAGACAATTTTAAACCACTATTAGGTCGTGAGTGGATTAGACATCTCGACATCAATCTTCAAGATATCGATAGCAACCTTCCTTCCAATACCAACCAACTTGATACACGAAGTACTGAACTTGATACACTAGAAGAGTTGATCAATAAATTTCCAGAAATCTTTGAAGAAAGAATTGGCTTGGTACCCAAGTTCAAAGTATAGTTACATCTGCGTGAAAACGCCAAACCAGTATTTTTTAAGGAAAGAAGTGTACCCTATGTTCTTAGAGAAAAGGTCGAAAAAAAATTGGATATTTTCGAAGCCGCCGGAATTATTTTAAAATTACATCATAGCGACTGGGGATCACTTCTAGTTGTCATTCAAAAGGCTGGTGGTGCAGTTAGACTTTGCATAGATTACAAAGTCAGCGTCAACGATAGGCTAGTAGGAGCAAATGATCCAATTCGGAAGATCGAAGACATTCTCAACACCTTAAAGGGTTCCAAATATTTTTGTCGAATTGATCCTGATAAAGCCTACCTGCAATTACTGGTAGACGAGAAAACCAGCGACATTCAAACAATTTCAACACATCGTGGTACTTACCGAATGCAATCGACTTTCATTTTGAATCAAAACCGCTTCTTCCGAATTTAATCGTATTATTGATCAAATTCTTTCCGGATTATTAAAAACCCACTCGTACTTTGATGACATCATAATCCATGGATCAACAAAAGAAGAGTGTCAGAGAAACCTTTACGGCTATCTTGTTGGCGGAATTCTTTCTCATATTGTTAATGGGTTAGAAAAACCAATTGCATTTGCCTCAAGATCTTTAACTTCAAGCGAAATGAACTATAGTCAGTTAGATCGAGAAGCTCTCTCCATTGTATTTTCAGTAAATCACTTTTTCATGTATTTATTTGGCTTAAAATTCAAACTTATCACTGATAATAGTCCCCTTACCAGAATTTTTCATCAACCATCAAAATTACCTGCTATGACTTCAGCTAGACTTCTTAGATACGCTTCGTTTCTGTCTGGTTTCGATTACGAAGTTGAATACAGGAAAGCTTCTAATCACATAAATGTTGATTGCCTTTCCAGAGCCGCTATTGCTAAGCAAGCATATTCTACCGATCAGTTTTTAAATGAAGAAGTCCTTTAACTTTGTAATATATCAGTCAAAGAAATCTCCAGCTATGACTTAACGTATGATAACCTTAGAATAGCTACAGATAAAGATTTAGTCTTATCCAAAATCAAATCTGATTTGAAATCACAAAATCAAGTGGAACACAACTTTACCTTGGATAACGACATACCGTTTAAAGGCCAAAGAGTTGTAATTCCAATATCGCTCCAACCATTAGTTCTTTCAAAACTTCACAGTACTCACATAGGCATTACAAAAAATGAAACAGCTGGCAAGAAGATATTGTTACTGGAAAAACATCGATAGGGACATTGAAAATATGGTTAAGTCCTGTCAAGCATGTGCTGAAGTTCAAAAATCTCCTTCAAAAGATACTCTTCATCATTGGGATCTTCCAGAAGAAAATTGGGATCGAATTCATATCGATTATTATTTCAAGGTTTCCATTTTCTAATTGTTGCCGATGCTAAATCTCGATGGGCCGAAATTAAAATCCTTCGTGATGCTCCAACAACAGGAAAAACTATCGATCTACTCAAAGACATCTTCAAATTTCACGGATATCCTAGAGTTATGGTTTCGGACAACGCGAACATTTTTGTAAATGGGCAGTTCAAGACATTGTCCAAAATGCATGGCATTTTTCAAAAATTCATTGCACCAGGTCATCCTGCAACCAATGGCTTAGCCGAACGTAATGTCCAGACTCTAAAGTATAATTTATAACCACCGTAATGTAACTTAACTTAACGCCGTAGAAACTTAACCTAAGATATAAAAATATAGTCTATTTATAAATGTCCGTAACGTAAGAGTTGAGCATGCGTGTTGATTTCAGAGATTATCAAATTACTGACAACCTTATGAAATAAACAAGTGTAAACTATGTACCTAACCTCTAAATAAAACTTATAAATTATGATTTTGCTATATAGAAAGAATATATTAACTACTTTAAAAGCAATAATATAAAAATATAATAAAACAGAATAGTTTACCGAAGATGTTGATTGTTTTTGAGCAATAATGAGAATTTAATCTTTCCTAGCGAACTAATTTTGTGTCTTATTTCAGTTCTAGACTTTATGTTTATAGGTATATGCAGCAACACTCATATCTCATAAATAATTTATCCCCAATAACAAACACAAATCATTCATGAAAATGTATGTCCATCAAAAAGGAGAATGATTGTTTAAAAATAGAATAATTGACAGTTATCACATGCTGAACTCAGAATTATCTCATTGGCTAACCGTAAGGTCTTAAGTTAAGTTGTTAAGTTAAAAGTTGGCGAACGTACCGTAGTACGTTGTTCTTAAGTTACGTTACGAACATTATAAATAAGTATACGTAAATTCAATATTTCAACTTCTTACGTTAAGTTCTTAAGTTACGTTACGGCGGTTATAAATTAAGCTTTAAAGGTAGACTTAAAGCCATGGCCCAGGATAGCATGCCCATGAATAGGAAAATTCAAGAAATTTTTCTTGAATATCGCACCACTCCTCTAGCTTGTGGGAAGTCACCAGCAGAAATATATTTAAGAAGACCTATAAGAATCAAACTTGACGCCTTGCGGCCAACTCAACACAAGAACTCAGGAAACCAGCTACGTGGAGTACGTAATTTAAGTGTGGGAGAAAGAGTTTAAGTCAGGTTTTATAGTGGGAACAAAATTCTGTGGAAATTTGGAACTGTAACAAAAAAGTTTGGAATGCTACACTACCAGGTAGAGCTAGATGATGGATATTCATTTAAAAGGCATATAGACCAAATTCGAACTACGATGGTTCCCAAAAAGTCACCTTTTCAAGTGAAACACCTCAGGTTTATGAAAATGAGTCACCCCAATACCATGACAAAGTTCAGCAGTTTTTGCACGCGCAAACTTGCCAACCACTTGACCCCGGCTATGACGGCAACCTATATGAAGGACACCGAGCTGACAATAATGTCGAATCGGAATCGTCTGATCAGCGAAGCACGGAAATCCATCAGCGTCCTGAACTTAGACGATCAAAGAGAATCCGTCGCGCAACTCAACGTTTTCAAATTATTTAGTTATTCATTTATTATGTTAGAACCTAGACTTAAATTAGTGTGGGAGACTGTAATATCCCTTGTTATCGTTAAGTGTTGCACGGCAATGTGCAAATATAGATATAAAATATTAGTAGTCGAATGTCAATGTTAAAAAGCTAACAAATATATTTTTAATTTCTAATGATCTCTCAATTTCCTTTACAATTTATATTAAGGAGTTACAACAATAATGATAAATAATTTATATATTATGCATCGGTTAGTCATTTGAGGAATATGTGTCTACATATTTTGCGCTAGTGCCACGGCCCTTTGGCACCTTATGACAAGCCGCCACTGGTATGATATACGATTGAATACGAATAATGGGATTAATTTTCGAAAGTTACAGTTGATACGAGGATGTTAGATTATTGATATTGAGAGTGTCAGATGATATTTGAAAAAAAGGCAGAGGGGAAAAGGTTTTGTAAGAAGTTGTTGGAATTTGTTTTAAGAATTTGATAACGGTTTTGGTTGGAAGATGAAATAAAGAAATAAAATAAAGATAATCCGAGCAACTAAATATTGAAACCAGAGGCGGAGGCGGAGCAAATTCAAGCAGAGAATAGCCAGGTAGAGAGAAATAGAGAAGCAGCATAAACACAGAGCGGATACTAGCAGGCATAAGAGTAAATAGAGCAGACACCAGCAGGAGGTAGACAGAATGGCACGCAGGACAGAAGAAAGAAGAGAAGACGGAGAAGCTCAAAATTTTTTTATCTAGTAATAATAAAATATAAAATTATTAAATATTTTAGAAAATTTAACCTATCCCATTATTAAAATTGCATATTGATTGGAAATTCTAAAATCCTGAGAGAGGTTTTCATATCGGTATATTATTTATATAGTTTTTCAAAATATACATGGAGATAATCTACAATTTAGCTATTGTGACGCAAAAGCCGTTTCTGTTCCTTATTTATTCCTTGCCCGCGGTATGAACTCTAGCGCTGACCATATAGAGATAAACGCAATGCTTCAAGAAGATACCAGAAAAAAATGGTACGTGGCCGTTGAGTCATAGAAATGGAATTCTCGGACATTCGAGATTGTCTAGAAACTACTGGTACAGAGCTGGCTTTATATAAATATCGCGAGTTTGCCGACGGAAAGAGACGTTTATAATTAAGTGTTGGACAGAGAAGACAAATTGTAATAAATAAATTAGAATTGTGAGTTAGTGCCTAAGTATAATATAAATTAAAGTGTTTTAAATAAATAAACTATAAATAAATTAAACAAACGTTACATTATAAAAGTGTTTAAATAGGAGTATCTACCTAGTGATCACCTATTAACTAATTCATATGCGTTAGCTCCCAAAATATTAGATTGATGCCTTTGATATGAATTAGCTGCATGTATATTTTAGGAGAGAGACAGATTCTATAATTTCTCTTTTTATTACAGATGGCGTTCTCTAGAAGCAGTTTCTACATCTTGCGGGCAGCTTTCAGACGTGCCAAGCAAAAAATCTGTTTCAAAAAGCGCTCTTAAGAGTTGGTTAGTCAGTTTATTCAGCGGAAGTGGATTCAAATCTAGCAGCACTTCATTAAGAAAAGGCAATTTAAACGAATATAATAACTTGCAAGTTGAAAAGGAAAGTATAGTTTAAAATAAGTTGCAAGGAAATCCCTTGATTTTAAGGGATATTTAACCAGTGATATTTTTTATATAATAAATAAAATTTATTTACTAAATGTGATGTACAAATTAGATTCATCGGTTAAAAGTTTTTAGCGCGACTTCGAGGAATATGACTTTTCATATACAATGACTTTTTTCACACTACAAAATCTGTAATATTCAAGATATTTTTATAGTTATTAACGATATAACTTTGATTATTGAATGTTTAACAAAACGAGTTTTGTTTTATTATAATCAAATATGTATTGTTCAATATTTTACCTACATCGCTAAATTTGAGTTTTAAATGTGGAGTGTAGTAAAGAGAACTATCTCTATATACAAAAAGTGTCCCTCAAAATGTATAAAATTAAGATGGTGCAGAGGGACGTCGACAGTCGATAATTCAGATCACACAATGACACTTATGATGTATATAGTTATATGTATTGCTCACCCATATGTATGGAGTGTAGAGGTCTTAGTAGAGGTAAGGGTATATATATTATGCTCGAAGGGTATAGCCTAAAAACTAAAAACTACATCATGAAAAGCCATCGTGAAAAGCGACTCAGCTTACAATCGTAGAGAAATTTTAATAATAGACAACAATAGTGCTATTCGTCGTCTGATTTACATATGGGTGAGCTATCTATATAACTGTATATCATTGGATCTTTCCCTTTTAGTATATGATCGCCATCTTAATTTTACACATTTTGGGGGACATTTTTTGAGAGAAACAACCGTATGAGATTGTCGTCCTTTACACTCCATAGTTTTAAAATTCTAAGAACAAAGTGACTGTTGTGCTCGTTGCTATGGAAAAGTTTTTTTCTTATTGTAGATAAATCATTTGACATTTTACTTAATTTGTGTGGTGGCATTATTAAAAATTACTTAAAATGATCGATTCAAAATTTGATAGTATTTACCATCAGATATTGATGCAGCCCCGGAAAATAATATAAATTTTGTTTATTTCTTTATTTTTATTATTTGCTATTACTTACTTACCAATTAAAAGACGGTGCCGTTTTGAATTTTATTATAAATAAAATCATGAAAAAAAAATTAAATATTTCCGTTTGATACTGTGTTTATTCGAAGAAACCAGCCTAATATTTAAAGTTTAAATTTAAAATAAAATGACTATGTATCTCTTTGATAGTCTTTGTGGAAAATTTTTATTTAGCATAATCTATTTAACGAAAACAATTAATTAAGACTCCTTGACACAAAATTCCGAAACCTAGAAATCGATTAACTTTATATGACTTTTACAGAGTGTTGTGCCAAATAATCCTTTTTTATTTATTTTTTTTTTTCAATCTACAGATTGTTAAATGTTTCGTATTACTTCTTACTAAAGTAATTTTATCATCAATAAAAATTAACTATTAAAATATGCTGAAAATTGCAGATTATACAGCAAATATTAAAATAATTAGATTTTCCCACGGTCGGATGGACGAAAAAAATAAATTGCAACTTAAATATCTTTAAGCAAGGTTCGTTTGTTTTTGAAAAACATTTTACCATGCATTTTTGATATCGCTTAGAGCCACATTATAGTTCGCAATTTTACTTACTGCAAGTCGAACTAAGCCCAAGTGAATTTGCTATCTGTAAAAGGTCGCCAACTTATCTTCATTAGTGAAGAATGAAAGATTATCTATTATCTCAAATGTGGTCAGTAGTGAAATTAAAATAAAGCACAAAATCAATACCACAGCATAAAATTTATTAATAAGTATCGTGACTAGTTTCGGCATACACGGCCATCTTCAGGCCTACAATACAAATAAAAAGAATGATAGTAATATAGTGAACGTAGAGCTACAAACAGTTATATAGAACTAAATAATTATAACTTATTATTAAATTTTATGGTGTGATATTGGTTTTGTGCTTTACTTTAATTTTTCATTAGTGTTTGACTATTTTTATTGCAAATTCGTGAGTTTTAGAAGTGTTGATCGTTGATTTAAAGATTATCTAAAGGATAGTACATTAGTTTATTAATTTAAAAAACGTGTAATAAAAATACATTTAAAATACATATATACTTAATAAATATTAAGAAATACCTACCTACTATATATATGTATGCATTCAACTGAACTAAACAACACCTAAAATAACTCTACAAATTTGAAAACAATAATACGCAAATCTGACTAATAAATATTCTCATAAATCATTGTTTGTTGTTTTTGCCAATCGTCTACCATTTAAAGTCACGTGATTTGAATTGCCTAATTGCAACAGCTTATCAACATTATGTTAGTGGGCAGACGTGGAAAAATTGAGAACTGTAAGGGGCTCTTACCAATGTTATATTGTGAAAAAACATCTTGTTGCTTGAAATTCATAGTAAAACATCGAATAATAGCGATTTTTTATTTGTTAATCACGGGATACAATTTAATTCAAGTATAAAAAGAAATTTAAAACCCTTAAGGATCATTTTAAAATATAGTAAAATTTATTCTCTATAATATTGGTTACAGATTTTTGTTTGAACTGTTTTGATTTTAAGGAAAAATTTAAGTTAACGTAAAGTTTTGTACGTAATTTACATAATTGAATTTGGACTCCATATATTGCGTCTCGTCCAATAAAGTTCTTTATTTTATACATATTGGATAAATATGTAAATAATAAATATCAAGAAGTTAAAAAAATAATTCTAGAAGAAATGGTTAATCGATTAACGTTGAGTATATCATAAAATTTATTATTACGTGAAAAGAATGTTCTTCGAATTTGCTCAAATATTCTTAGAAAAAATATAATGTATGGATAACAGTTGAAAATTGTAACCTTTATAAAGAACAAAAACCATTCTACTTGAAGAATAATTTTTACTAATTTTTTTATTTTAACTTTTAAATTTTTTTTAATTTGTGATTTTCAAATAAAAATTTATAGATTCCAAACGAGGCATGATGAAGGTATATTTATGTACGCAAAGGCTAGAAAAATTATTTTTATTACCCAATGTACTGGTTTCTATTAAGAAAACAAGTTATTTGATGGTTTTTAAAACTTATATAATATGAAAAATACACTGATTATTACAATTTTTGAAAATTGTTTTGTAAGATTGTCGTAAAGAAAATAAATAAAAAATACTTGTAGGAATAAAAAGGTAAATGAAAAATATTCTTTTTTATCGGTTTTTGATACATATCTTATAAAATACATATTTGAATTTTAACATTTATGTGAGATATGAAAATACTGGAATTCGCACACAATTTTATAAAATTTCATATATAATATTTTTATTCAAAAATGCATTTATATTTGTGTGATTTTAGTTGTGATCCTGCATACATTATTTTTGTCTTTTTATTTTTCTTTTAATTATTGAATATTTAAAATGTAAGTAATTTGTTATACAATTTTAATTTTTTTTTTATTTATAGTTTAGTCATTAATAATGTGAATTGAGAAAAAACTTTTCATAAGTGAAAGTTGAATATGCGTTGTAACAATTTTTCTATACTTGTAAACAGTTGATTTCGAAAACTAGGGTAAAAAATTAAAAACAAAGCACATAAATGGAAAAAGTGTCCTTACTTTAATTTAGCTTCATAATTGTATATTTTTTGATGGAATGAACACAATTGGTATACAAAAGGGGGCCAAAAATTTTAAATTGCTCTAAAATTTAAAGATGTCGTTTTTGCTTGTCTATAGTAGAAGCGTAATTCAACTATAACTTTTACGGCTAAAGAATATTAACGGCCCTTCGAATTTATTATTATAATTATTATTTTACAAAGTCATTTGGAAATCGCTTAAATTAAATAAACCATTTATAAACATTGAATTATGCGCATTTATTTTCATAGAATTATTTCAAAATCGGGCAGTAAAATAGAAAGATTAATAATTTTTAAATATCAAAAATATTATATTTTTCTGAACAACAAAATTAACACAAAAATAATGACAAGCTCTCTAAATTGTGGTATCCAAAATATACAGAGTGAAACAAAAGTCTGGAAACGATTAATCATCTGGGAAATGGGTAGTCCGAGTTGTACAAAATTTGGAATAAGCCTATTTTTGGATAAGAAGAATCCAGATTAGACATTTGCAATGTTGCCAGATTTGTCGTTTTTCTGATGTTAGTAACATGTCATTATTGAAATCCCTCCAATACGAGTTCAACCCATATACATCATATTATCCAAGATAGACTCGCCCTTCACTCTGTATAACCAATATACCTTCTGTCCGCATGAAATACCAGACGGAGAAAAGGGAATCGTACATCGCACATAACCGTAGTGTTTCGGGAGGGTTTATTTAGATTTTATAAAAATTATTTATTGATCAAATCTTAATGACATATACACGTTCAATAGGTATACTGAATCAAAGGTAAATTTAAAGAAACAATTGTATTCAAAAAACCGTTCTGTATATTTTCTTATAGATTAAAAGAGCAAATTGGAGAAACAGTTATGTTAGTATTTGAAACAACCACGAAAAACAGACTAATCAATTCATTCAAAATTAAGCCTTATTTATTTCAATAATTCAGATTGTGTTTTATATTATACAGACAGAGCTGTCGCATCGGCTGCCGCATTAGAGAGAACAAGGCGGCTTCTAATTTGAGTGGTGATAATTTGTGCAAGTTGATTTATCTGAAGAGCGAGTATTTGTTTTATGAATAATTCAGTAGTACTTACGTCTACGACGCTTGCTTTAGATTGCTGTCACACTTCAAAATTAAATGTGAATGTTCCTGGAAATCACCTTCAACTATGATAGTTGCAACGAGAAAAATACATTAAACTCCATAATAACTGGCCTTAAAAATGCAAACATACTTCCTTAATGTAATTTTGAAAGCGTTTTAGAGCCTTGTGTTGAGTCAATACTGAATTATAACCATAAACAATCCTTGTAACATAACGCGCACATACTCATAATAATTTGACAACTCCTTGGATAATACAGTGAATGTTTGTAATTTGATTTTTTTAAACAAAATTAGTCTAGTAGTTGTTCGTCGTTGATTTGAAAGTGCTGAATTGCGAATTTTTTATTGTATATCATTGTTAAAATACCTACATATATAGCAAATAAAAATATAAAGCAATTTATTATTATACTCTCTTCACACATTAGTCTGTGAAGAGTATTTTAGGTTTACTTTGTCCGTCCGTCCGATGTCACGTTTTTTTGTCCATACGATAAGTCAGAAACAAAAAATGATATCAGCTTGAAAATTTCAGGAAAATCGAGCTCTAGAACGGGACGAAGCCTATTGATTTAAAAAAAAATATGAATAAAAATGGGGGGTCAAATCAAGCTCTAAAAGGGAATGAATAAATTAATAAAAATGGGGAGGTTGAAATATTGAAAAAAAAAACCAACTAAAAAAACCTAAATTGAAATCTTCAGGAAAAATCAAGCTTTATAAGGGCATGAAGCCCATTGATTCTGGAGAAACTCCTATTCACACACTATGCCACTGTCAGAATCCTAAATGGGGACGGGAATGGTACTTCGGGGTAAAATATCCGGAACCTGAAGAAATCGCGAAAGCGCCCATCAGACATATTCTTGAATTGATCAAGAAAATCAATCTGATGGGATAGAAACTGTGAGGGGTACAATAAGTCTAGAGCTTGAACCACGCCCTAATTCAGATAGAAGGGGATGAAGCCTTTTGATTCTGGAAAAACTCTGATTAATAAAGGGGATTAAGGGGATCTGTTAAACTGTGAAGAGTATAATATAGAACGCCAAGCATTATATATCTTCGTTCTAGTTTTTACATCGGTAATGTCATGATTACCGCTCTTTATGAAATAAAATACTTACTAAAAACAACAAAGAAACTTTATTTCAGACATAAATATATAAAAAGGATCCTACCAAAACATACCCTTTGGATTGTCTGCATAACGGAATGACAACTCTTTTAGGACAGGTATCAGCGATAATTTTATACATGCCTTTACAATGTTAAATAAAATAAGCCTTATTCCCTATATATGCCTGCGTCTATGCTAACAAAACCTCACCTATGAAATTACCGCGTAACATTCTTATTACACATTTTGGCACACTACACATTTCCTCACCATCCTAAATGTCCTTATTAAACAGTTCAATGTTCTAATTATTCTCAAAAAAATACCGAAAACCTCAATTAAAATTCAAATGTCACATGACGCCGTCAACAAAATGTCTTAGGTTGCCAATAAAGGTTATGAACTAGAATGTTCAATATACACATACGATACACGTGTAAAAGACGATAATACAAATCTTAAGTGATTGTAATGAATAAAAAACCTCATATTTATGCTTTCAATTCTTTAACTTTCTTTTTTAAATAAATTATATTAAAGGGAAGAGTACACTTTTTAATAAAAATTTAATGGAAGATAATCTGAGAACATAGGAACAGTGTACTGTCAGAAAGATGTTGCGGACAAATTCAATGTAAACAAATCTATTATTCGATATCGTTGGGTCAACCATAATTTTAAGTAGTTAGGGTACTAATTATTTTATAAGTTGGCTGTTTGGATTTCGCACCTAGAACATATGTGCATAAGGTAAATTAAATCTAGAATGCTATGATTTGACGTTAGTTCACTAGTTACATTATTAACTAAAACCATAGATCTCAGAAACCCTAGATACAGCATAGAAAATCAATTTTGATTTGACCTCCTACATTCTGGGCGCCATGATAACTGAATTTTAAGGTGGCTCTACTGACAAGACATGATCGGCGCAAGGTTACGGTAGAATATATAAGGAAGGAGTATTTTTTCATGTAAAACTTTACACAAATATTTAATAAATAATTTTTTATGGTTTATTTTATATCATACTAAAACATTTTCGGAATTAATGGAGGCGAGACCATTGATAATTGAAGAGCTTGGCGTAATAAGGTTTGAGAAATTGAGTTGTAAATTTGTTTTAAATCTGTCAAATACAAATAAAACATTATTTAAATATAAATATTACAAGAAATAGTGCCGTCTTTCGGATTATAGGTAAAATAATTTGTATACAGCTAGTAATATCCTTGTTAACAAATGTTTTGAGCTAAAACAGTCACTTCACGACAAATTGTGACTTGCATCCTTTTTACACCTTTAATTGTTTGAAATCACCGCCTAAAATGTCACTTTAGTCGAGTCGGCCAGGAAAATTGTAAAAACACTGACCCTTCGGGGGGCATTTTAAAATTAATATGTTTTAATAAATATTGAAATTTAGTTTATAAACTATCATTCACACGCAATTTCATTAAGTAAATAAGCGTCTAATGAAATAAATCGACTATCATATTTTGGAATAAAATTTCAACTTGCATCCCATTTTTATTTAGGATTTATATGGTAAAATATTTTAGAAACTTTGTGCTTGAACAATAATCTTCCACAAATACGCAACTTAAAGCATTCGCTTTTTCGTCGCTCTGTTCTAAATGCTCTTATTTACAAATATTTCTTGCCACGCTTGCTTCGTAAATAACTATTGTTAAGCATGAGAATAAATTCCGGAGTAATACTGTGTCAATATTTTTCCAATGTATCTAACCAAGTTCAGGAATTGTGTCATCAGCTGTTGATGAGATTCTCATCTTGAGAATAATTAAAAAAATTGATACCTATTTTATTTTTCAGTAATAAGGGGAAGTGAGTTTTGTTATTCTCCTTTTTTGTCTGATCTACTTTTTTTTTTCATACTTAGTCTATCAGTAGTAAAGGCACTTAAAATGCATTTGAAAACAATGCCCTGAGAAAATGGATCACATTTTCAGTTTTTCAGTTAAGTTAGTTCACTAGCGAAAGTCGTACATACAAATATCGCCTAATGTATATATTTCAATTTTATTGAATTCTTAAGAAAGGCCGTTTTACGAGTGAACTGCCTTAATTACATGTTTAGTAGATGTTTATTTGAAACCGAAGTAGTTTAGTTAACAAAAGAAAACTAAGAGCCTTTGTACTCCTAAGTTGGAGCTAATTTTCATACTTACCTCTAAAAACAATGAAATATTTTATTTGTCCAACTTTCTCCGGGTGCATGACCTTACAATTCTTATTAAAATACAAAACAGTGATTAAATCATTTATGAAGTAAAAAATAATCTTAGAACAGTTTTCTGAAAATAACTTAGATAATAAGAAAATCCATAATGAAATATTTGTTTTAATAATCAACGGTTTTCTTTATTATCATCATATTAATATCTAATATAAATAGATGAATCAGTCGGATTAGAACTAAACCGAAACCTTTTAAAAATGATACTTGAAATTGAATGTAATGTATCCAATGCTAAACATAGATGATTTTAAATTACTTGTAAATTTAATAAAATTATATTTTTTTCATTATAATTCATTTATTTATAATTGGAGTAGGTATGTATAACCAATATACTATTATCGTTGCAATTTGAAACCTATTGTAATGTGTGCAAATAGAATTACAAGAACGAGAAACTTTAAAAAACCGGTCCTGATTAAACAGAACTAGACAAGCCAAGAAGGTTCGCCAAAGTTTTATTCCTTATTTTAACCTATAAATTTTTCATCTCACTCATTAACAACTAATAACAAAGTGGATAATTATCAGTGTTATGAAGACTAGATAGTTAGTGTTCACCTATTACTGAACACAAAAACTAAAAATCGGTGTAGCCAATACATGATCTAGTTATCATGACGGAAAGCCTAAAGCGGTTCATTTTATTGTATTGACAGGTTACACATAGCGGCATCTAGATTTTCTGAGAGCTATGACAAACTTACAGTAGTTTGATATGGTTTGAAAAGTTCTGCTTCTCTAAGATGGTTTTCAGACTTTTGTTTTATTAATTTAAGACCTTCCTGACTACATAAAATCTCAAGCGTTACATATGATTGAACTTGTATTGAAGGGGAAATTCTATTAATAATACAACTTATAGGGTGATGTATTTAAAAAAACTAGTGACTAATAATATTAGAAAAACAGTAAGTGGCAAAAGTGAAAATGTCAAATCTGGAATCTTCTTGTCTCAAATTTTGTACAATTCGACTTACCTATTTATGAGATAATAAGGCGTTTCTTGACTTTTGTTTCACTCCATATAAACAAAAGTCCGTGCATGATTTACTTAATTTGAAATTGTCTGTATTGGTACTATTGATTAATGGCTGCATTTATTAGGTAAATAAATACTCGTATTAATATTTATTCTGCCAATTCTGATCGAATTACGTGTCTACTATATAAAATTCACTTAAACGCAATAAGAAAAACCTAATGATTCAAAACTGGAAGAAGGTATTTTTTTATTAGTATTTTTATGACAAATCCACGCATAATGCATGATACTATAAAAAGAAGGTATGTTATTTCGCAGATTGATGACGTCACGGTGAAGTAATATGGTGGAAGGCGTGGCTTTTACGAATTTGACGTTTCAGCTAATCGAAAACAGCGCGCGAACATAAATTTTAATCAGCTCATGGCCAATCAGATAACCATATTCCACACCATAATACGTCATGTGCGATCTTGAGGAGATTTTGTCGGCTAAGTATCATATCTCTGAAATTTTTTGTATCATGCGCATAATGTGCTTTTAATTTGTTGTTGTGCAGGATCAAGTATATAATTTATGTACAATATATACCTACGTAAATGTTTCATAATGCAAAATAATATTAAATGTTGTTTGTTGTAGAGACTGTCTTATAACATATCTATGTTTGGTCTGTAATCTTGGCCATTACTTTAATGTGATGAAATTTCTATTATTGACAAAATATTTTGTCGATCAATTTTAACTTTTTTAAAAATATTTACATTTCAGAATGTAATAATTATAAGTAATATATACCTGAACGAAGAATATTTTTTAGTTCAAAATTACAGTTACTATTACAAAAAAAATGTTTATTTCTAAAAACTTATTTTAAGCTCCTTTGATTAATTTTTGAATTTAAAGAAAAATTTGACAAATATCATTTTCCTTTTCCATGTAGTAGTGTTTAATAAATTAATATAGTAAAAGTTTAAAGTAGATTTGCAAATATTTTTGAATAAAATATCCCATTATTATCGGGCAATGGCAGAATCTTGGGGTGACAATATGACCTTTTTTTGTCAAAAATTACCTCAATAAAATATTGACGTTAAAGTTATATAGAAAATATATTTTATTTCTTTGGAATGTTTGCTTGACTACTCAATATACTTTGACCAAATTTAGGTGGTAGTAGTAGTTTCTAAAGGTTTCTATGATTTTTTAGAAAGGCTGGTACCTCAGCAGTGGTATACATACAAATTTGGTTAAGATCTGATGATGGGATCCATGAGAAAATCATCAAACTCTTAATTTCTGAGTCGGTTTTTAAAATTTACTTTTATGGTAATTTCTATTGTATTTTATTGAAGTGAATTTTAGGCTAGCGATTCTGCTATTGCTCCATTTCCAATTAATGGGATATCCTGTATATCGCAGGATTAATTCATAAGTAAATAAAAAATAACAAAAGTCGAAGAAAACATTGATTTTGGACAAGTAAATCTATTGCCTCTCTTTTAAATAGATAATAGATAATAGATAATTTAAAAATTAATTCTGCAAAAATTTACAAATGATGGAAAAATGGCATTTTAACTTAAAATATAATAAGTTTGTAGGTAAATATTTTCAAACATTCACAAATATTTGCAATATTATTACGCTTTTGATGGATATGTACTTAATCAATGTTTCAGAATATTTGAAAGTGACATATTTTAAAAAGAAGATATAGTTCTATTTAGTTCTAAAATTAAAGAAAAGGGCCTATAAATTATATAACTATAGTTGGGACAATGTAATTTTATCCATGCGTTATTAATATCTGATACTATAAAACTTGCAATCTTTATGTAGCATTATTTTCTACTAAGTGTAAAAAGTAGAACAATATTAGTTACTGTTTTCTTAACAGGCAAGTATGTTGTTATGATGACCGATTACACACTCAATAGACTGAAAAGAGATCGACGCATAGTCTCACATTTTATTTGGTTAGTGCAGTCACTTCTTTTTATAATTTTACTAAATTTGCTAAACATTGCTGGTGTCATAAGATACACATATCAGCAAACAATCAGTTAAATAAATTTTACCAGTGGGGTACAACATGGATAAGTAACACTTTCAGCCCCTCTAAATTTTACGACACGGTCCAAAAACTATTTGATGTTTTTTAAATAAATCATGTACTGTTGTTGGGAACTCATAGTGTTAATATCTCGAAAATCAATCACTTTATGAGTTCCCAATACGAGTACATGATTTAATTAAAAACCTCAAAAAAATCTAAAACTGTAGTCCAAATGAGTTTTTGGACATTGGCGTAAAATTTAGAGACGATGCTACTTATCCGTGTTGTACGTCACTGGTAAAGTTTATTTAACTGTTTGCTTTGCTAATAGGTGTGTCTTATGACACCAACAATGTTAACCGTATTTAGTAAAATTATACTGAGAAATAGAAAAAATATAGCCATTAATAATTTTGAATTTTTAACTTTTAACACCCTGTACTTCGGAAATCAGTAATATTTTATCTAAGCATGTTTCATTTAATCGTTTTATTTTTAATCAGAGAATCTTCAGTTGTTCTGTGTCTCATTCTTAATGAGACACAGAACCCTGTAAATAGAGTATGATTACATATTGCTAGACACAAATTTCCCCAAAGTTCCTTCTTCAATGGCTAAAAATCCGATGACGTAGCGAAATTCCGCTACTCCTGGCAATTCGGAACAAAGTCCTACTTACAGACACCTTTTACAAATTTCCTCCAGAAGGCATATCACTTAGCTGCAATCGCGAATAGCAAATGTGCATGGCATACCTATATAAGTATGTATATATAGTTCAAGGACGAGCGCGGTGGCTCTGCGACAACGCATCTCTCCTGCATTTGGCAAGTAGTGGCTTCGAAGTCCACTGCCGCCAGGCTTGCTCAGAGCTTTTCTTTTAGCATTGAGCAAATTCTGTTTGTTTTTAGTTTAATATTGACTTTTTAATAAGTTTTTACATTTTTCTAGGACAATTTTTTTCTAATACTCTGCTATAAGAGTTATCCCAATTTTCAGGGTTCAGTAATCTCTCTCAGATACTTTAGATCACCATTTCTTCCACCCCATTTCCTTAGACCTCAGATCCCTCCAGCGCAGCTGAAGAGGCTAAGATCGCCTATAGCGGCTTGCTTCCAACCGGGAGAATGAAATACATATGATGATTACCTTTTCGGTTGAAAAATTATTTAAATAATATAAGTTGTGTTATTCAATTCTGCAGTATTTTCTATAATAAAAGATTTATGAAATTAAAATATTCGATTTACATACCTTTTCTATTTTTTTTGTGTTTTATTTTATTTTCTTTCATATATTTAATTTTTTTGAACCAACTGTTTTTGGAATATATGATTTTTCGAATTTATGAGATGTTAAAAGACTTCAACATATGCGGGCCATTTGTTCATTAACACATTTTACTTTAAACCACCCCTGACATTTCTAGAAACAATCCAGCGCCATTGTGTCATTTTTCTTCGCCCTAAAAGTTCTAATCCACATCACATCGATAGATGCGCTCACGTAAGCTCCGAATCATAGATAATTGGTTAAAGCAACAGACGAGAACTGCCACCTTCCATTTTCTTCGGGTACACAGCTAAACCAAACTTCTCACCGACCAAAACACTTAAACTAAACGGTTTGCATCGACACGCCACACTGCCATGTTGTAATTTAAAAATTCTCTTCTAATATTGTCGTAAATGGCTATGTGATTTTCTTTGACAAAAATAAAAATGTAGTACAAATTCAGTGATGTAAAAACGGAATATCAAGTGTTAACGGAAGAATAAAAGTTATAGTGAAGCCGTAGATTTTTAATTACCCAACTTTATATTGAAAAACCAGTGAATCTCATACGGTCTGCTTAGTCGAAATAAAATTTACATTGTGTAGAAATGACACTCAACATGTTCATACATGAGTTTTACAATGATCAAAAATCATAATAGAACTCCAAAAATTCTATTCTATTTATCAATAAAAAATATAGTACACTTGTCTGAATTTTAAAATTAGCGCGAAACAAAAATAAAACCAGTCTTCAGTAACTTACTAGTAACTTACTTATAAACGTAATTTATTATAAAATATTATGAAATAAAGTTATTATGACATAATTCCAAAAACCTAACGTTATTCTACGAAGATTCTTAAATTTTGAAAAATTTTAGTTTAATTCAGGTTAAGGTCTATAGATATTAATGATATTAATGATATAATCCTTAATTACCTTACAATGTTCAAAGAAGATTGTTAAATTTGCAAAACTTTTGTCTAATTAATGTAACGGTCTATAATAAATAGATATTAATGATATAATCCATGAGTACCTAACATTATTCTAAGAAGATTTTAAATGTTAAAATATTGGGCACAGTTCGAGTTTAATTCGTGTCTTTATTTAAAATGGTTCGACTATCAATTCTTGTAAATGCCGTTTAGTGACCCTTTAATTATTTTCGAAAAATTTCGTAAATTTCGCCAATTTAAATGGGAAAAATGAGCTGCCAAACTGTTTAACATCCATGCATATGCAAATGAAATGTCTGTTTCCGTTGCCTTCTGCTTGTTAAAAGACAAAAGTATACAAGTTACTTAAAACTGCAATGTGGCAACTTATAAAGAAAGATATTGACGGCATGGGATTTATCCTGAATTAAAAATTATTAACAAAAAAGCAACTAATAAATGAAATAATAAGTACCTATCTTAATTTTATAATCTCCAGTAAAAATAAATGACCACTTGAAAATATTTCGTTTTAATTAAGATAAGTAAAATATACATCCCCATCAGCATAATTTCCTCGATTTGGTGGAATTAGTCTGTCCTCAACAATCCATAATGGAGATATAAATATTATAAACCGTATTAACTTTATTGTGAAAGTATTTTAAGAATTTTTTTAAACTTATCTAATATTTTTCACCTGGAATATAACAAACCAAGGTACAGATCTATTCTTTGTATCGTACTTATAATAATTCCGAATAAATAACTGAGTAGATTCCTGAATTATCAGCAAAAATTATGGTAACTACTGTAAACAACGATAATTAAAGTTTTAATCAAACAACAAAAAATTGTAACAAAATATAAACTACATGCACTTTGCACTTTTTTCAATGTGCGCTTTTTTCCATGTGCGCTTTTTTTCCATGTGCGCTTTTATACCCGTGAGCTTCTTTCCCTGTGCGGTTTTTTCCGTGTGCGCATATTTCCTCGTGTGGTTATTTCCTGTGCGCTTATATGTCTGTGCGCTTTTTTCTGTGCGCATATTTCCTGTGCGCTTATTTCCTTTGCGCTTTTTTCCGGTCACCGAGTTTTAGATATTGTTACCACCTGTCCTTTTTTTGAAAAGGACAGTCCTTGTTTCAAACAGGACAGTCCTTGTTTCAAACAGGACAGTCCTTGTTTCAAACAAATTGTCCTTTTGACTTTTTAAACCTAAAAATGTCCTTTTAAAAACTACATTTTTAATATTTTCAATATTCTTATTCGCAGCAGCACCGGCATGGCCCACGCGCTTCCAGAAATGAAACAGTCGTAGTGCTGTTTTTCCGAACGCACTTGATCATTTTACATGTCGAAAAAAGTTTTGTTTTGTATATTCAATTTTCCAAACAAACCAAACAAATTTTTGCGGCTAAAACCAGCGTTTAAAGAATATAATATTTAAAATAATTTGGTTATTTTGCGGTTTTAATGTTATTAGTTGAGGTGATGCAGATTTCAGACTGTTTGAGATTGAAAATAAAAACCAAATTTAAGGACATTAAAAAAAATGGGAAGTTGTTTTAAACTGTTTTAAAAATACTCCAAATGTTTTTTCGTTAATTTCATTTTTATTGTACCTCCTAGTTCAGAATTTTCTGAGCGAATTTTGTCTGTGATGGCTACCAAATAACGCGACAAAAGAAATCGATGCTTCACAGAACAAATTCACTCAGAGCTCAGATCTATTAATATGTTTTAATTTTTAAGAGAATTGTCAAGAATTTTATGACTTCATAAAAAACAACAAGTCTGCTTTGGAGGCTGCAAAATCAAACAAAAAATACTATTTTAAATTCAATAATCCCTAGAGGTATGGTTTCGCTTGTGCGCCCGTTGCACAAGATGCACAGGCGTAACCATACTTAAGTATTTTTTAGTTTTTAATATTTTTTGAAATGTCCTTTAATCGCTTTTGGCAATCCTAGTTTTAGAACAAATGTTGATCGAACAAATGATTTTCGATAAACTTATTTTTCGAACTAATGTGTTTGAACAATTGTTTTTTGAATAAATGTATTTTGAAAATTTTTCCGGAAACTATTTTTTAGACAATTTAGCTGACTTCCGACAAGTAACCCATTCTTAACATTTTTTTTTTTTTCGAAATCTACAGAGGCCGAACTTTGTATTCCATTTGCAGTACTCCTTTTATTGTTAACTTATCGTTTAATACAGCAGCGTTTAGAAATGGGATATCATAACAACATAAATGTATTATTTTATGAACTTATTTTTTTTTGTATTAGAAAATGGAATATACGTTGGTCGGAACAGTAGTTACATCGCTTTTAATTTCAAGATGGACATTGTTTTGTCTAGATTTTCTTGACTTTGGTTCGTATGCATATTACGGGTAAATATTTGTTAACCCAACTCTACGCTTTTTAAATATTGTCTTAAAAACTATTCTTCATCAGGTTTACTATCAGTGGGACGCTTTTGTCAAAAACCAATTTTGTACTGCATGTATTTCATAGATTGATTATAAAAAAATTGAAATGTACATATAGACTTAAGATTTTCATAATTCATTATTGTTCCATAGGATTTCCAAATAACAATATTTTTAAAATTTACTTTTATTTTTTCATTTTTAAAATTTTCTCTACAAGAAAATGTTATAAAATAGTACACACATATGCATGTAAAAAATATTTATGTACAGTTACATGTTTGACAGGGTGTGTAAGTGTGTATGTGTTGAAAAGCTTAAAAATATCTAAGAAATATTTGTTTCAATATTTTAATTTAATAAAAATCTATATTTTCTTTTAATTGCATGCTATCTAATGAACTATTAATAAATTAATGTCAATTTTTGTTGTATCGATTTCCGTGTAAACAAAATGATATGTAATTTTAGACCTTTTTTACATTTGGATGTTACCATTAATAAGTGTGTAAAATGTTTCCAAACCCATGAATGTGATTATTTTTGTATTGTGTAATTTTATTTTTGCTGCCATAGATGTTAATTTTTTTTTTTTTTTTGAAAAAAATGTACCCAAAAAATACGACAGTCTCAATATATTTGTGTATTTGAATTAATATTAATCTGTCAAAAAATACGCACCAAATTTTAATCTTTTAATGACTTTTGATATCTTATCGATACAAAATTTGAATGTTACGTCTATGACACTAATAAGTATAGTAGCGTTTCACTAAAATTTTGTGCTTCATTGTAACTTAAAAAATTAATTAATAATTGATAGAGCCATCATAATTTATAGAGCCATCATAATTTATTTATTATAATTTCTATGGGTAGCATACTTTTTGATTGATCCGGTACAGATTGTCGTAGAAGAAAAATATAATAAAAGCAGCAAGGTGTATAGCTTAAGGACGATAATGATTGTTTTTTTTTTCGAGGTTTTAAAGTCAGAATTGTGTTTGAGGCTGTGAATATTATCTCAAATTGTATATAAAATTATGAAAAAATAGTCGATTATTATTTTTATTTTTGGAAGAACTATCTTCGCACTATAAACATAGATGTGCCATTAACTTATAAAGTTTATGTATATTGAAGTAATTCACATGTAAATATTATGTTACTGTAGTAATGTTTGATAAAATACATATTTATTTATTAATATTGTGATTTTTTTATTTTATATTCCTTATAATTTTGCATCGATAGTATTTTAATTTTACCTGAACCAATCTTTAAAAACAGCTTTGCAAAAATACTATAGCTTCTTTACAATAAGTCGATAACAAAAATGTTAACAGGTGCCGCAAAAAAAATGACGACAAAGAAATATGTAGTCGACACCCATGATAGAAGTATAATACTTAGTCGATGCATTCTCGACCTAGTGTTTCACAAGAAGTGAAAATAGCCTCGCACAGAGGATTAAACAAAATTTCGGGGGTGAATGTAGCGGGCTTACTAGCGTCGATGATTAAACCTCTGTTAGAAATAAGTCGTTTTATCGGGTGGTCCACTCTTCGAGCATATATATTTCATAGAGTCCGCATTCAACAGCGTTTGTTTGGGTTAAGAGGGGAAATGCTTAGACACTATAACCAGTGTCGCATCATTTTTAGGAGGTTTGCAATTAATATAAATAATAAATGTGATACATACCTTCACCGGACGGTGTAAAACCTTACCCAAATAAAATAGAAACAATAAAAGAATTTCAATTGCCAAAAATTGCCAAAGATATTAAATCATTTCTGAGGCTCGTACGATATTACCACTGATTCATCAAAAATTTCGCTATATTAACAAAACCACTTACCAAATGTTTAAAAAAAACAGAATGCTTCTTATGTGTAAAACTATACTAACAAATTCACACATACTTCAATATCCCGATTTTACAAAATCTTTCAATGTCACTACAGACGCATCCAACTTTGTCATCGGAGCGGTACTTAGCCAAGGCAAAATCGGTAGTGATCTACCCATAGCCCACGCTTCAAGAACCTTAAATTCTGCAGAAATAAATTACATCACCATTGAAAATGAACTGTTAGCAATTATTTTGCCCTAAAATATTCCAGTTACCTGTTCGGTAGGAAGATAAATATAATTTCTGATCATAAACCCCTCAAATATCTTTTTACTTTCCTATTTGTATACAGATAAGGAAAGTATAGGAATCATGATTTTTTCGACCTCGAGTTTTCGACAAATTTTTACGTTTTGAGGTACTCTCTCTCTCTCTCTCTCTCTCTCTCTCTGTGCGTGTGTCGTGTGTGTGCTTGTGTGTGTGTTTGTCTGTTTGTGTGTTTGTGCGTGTGTGTGAACACTCCTTATAATTTTCGGACAATGTTATTTCAAAAAGTAATTGTGTTAAAAAATTAAAATTTGGGCAAAATAAATTAGGCAATTGTGGTAACACGGTTACCCTCTTTTGACGATACTCCCCTGGGACAGTGTTCTGTGAAGTTCACGGCGTATTGTTTTAGTTTGTCTAGCGCGATCATGTAAGACGGTAGCTAACTCGGACACTCGCACTTCCTACAGTGCCAGCCACAGTGGGGCAACAAGCCATCAAAGTTGGCAATAAATCACATACTTTCTTTATGAATTTGTAAGTTAAATATTGCTTTGTAGAGGTGTTATTATTACAAATGAAAATACATAGAGGGCTTATAAAGTGTTTGTTTGCTAAAAAAATAGAAAGTTATTAAGAATATAATATAATAAAAATGTATATTCTCTTCTTAATATCTTCCTATTTTTATTTTAGCAAATAAACACTTTGTTACGGGTTTTATTCTACCTAAATCTATTCCAGTCTAAAATACCCTAATTTACACTATTCTAACTTATTCTATTTGCTAGCTTATTTTATTCTAAGCTACTCTAAACTAAACTAGACCAAACTACACTATTCTAAATTATTCTACGCTTAACTATTTACATTATTCTACTTCTAATCTATCCTACGCTTAACTATATACACTATTCTACTTCTATTTAATTCTAACTTACCCTAAGCTACTCTAATTACTAAACTAATCTATTACTTACCTATTCTACTATAACCTATGCTAATATCTTTAGTTACCTTTCGATTTAAGAGTGTGCGGTATATAAATGTATACAAATCAATAAAATGGGTCCATTAAATAAATTCATAAAATATCCATTTTTATCAAACATATTTTGTAGTAAAATATATAATAATGTTTTGTAATAGAGTATAATCTCACCTGGAGTATATTCAATAATAATTAATACCTTAATAAATAATTTATAATGTAAGTAAATATATTTCGCTACTTTGAACAATAACTCTAGCTCATTTAATTACTAAAAAGCTTTATTTTTATTGTTATTGTTTACATGTCAATTTTAACTCCTTCAGTTGTCAGATTCTTCTAAATTTATAAATAATGACCACAGTCTTACCAGAAATTATCCTATTACCCTTTTGTAGTCAGGGCCTTCTTGCTAAAACATTGATTTTTGTTGGCCATTTTGTGGAACTTCCTTCCTGGCCAAGTTTTTGCTTGGATTCTGATTGTGGCATGTGCCAAGATTTCAACTAGGATTTTCTAGGATTCATTCTTGTGCAAAAACCAGAGATTCCTTTAGTCCGATATATTGTTAGTAATCTTTGTGATTCATACACCTAGTGGTGGATATAGTAAAGGCTAAAAGTGTGAATTTAATTTAATAAATTAATAACTAAGAGGTCACATACCATCAAGGGCGAGTTTTTCAAAATGAATTATTATTTCACTTACCTATATTCCCAAAAGCCTTCTGTATACATAATAGTTACAATCGTCAATGTTTTTCAGACCTCCTTGGTTCGCTCCTTTCATTAGTGCGTTCCTTCCTTCGCTCGCTCCGATTTACAATATAAGCCCTCTATGTATTTTCTTCTGTAATACTAACATATAATATAATAAAAATGTCATGAGCCTAATGAGGCCTAAGTGCCGTGGGGGTAATCCACTCTCCACACGTTAAAGATACAGATAATAAAAATGTAATATAATAATTTCATTTAGAAAAGCTATGATAATTGTAATCAAATTTCATCCTCTTTAGAATGTGATAAGACATTTTCTTCATCGTCTCCACGGTCACCATCAGTGTCATGAATATACCATGGCTATGAAGCTGGACGAGTCCAGATTTAAACAAATCTAGTGCTTCTTTAGGAAAGTGCTGCAGGTTCTTTCTTTTTTAATTTTCGTTTGCTCGTGATTACAAGGTCGAAACTAAGTAACGAATTAAAGACATCCTCATTAGTTTTCTCTGTTAATTGGTTTCTAGGCAACAAAGCAGAAGATATTATTTCAGGCCCATGAATAAAGTATTTGTGCAATGTCGGAGGCATATTGACCGTGGGTACTTTTGAACAAGGTATCTAACGGTGTTGTGAGCAAATTCTATTAATTTCATTCTTTCCAGAACTTCTCATGATATTAAGAAGTTTCTTTCTCGATAAAAACATAGTGGTCGGAAAGTATATTTACATACCTACCAAATCAGATCCATTGAATACAAATCGGTCAAAAACTAAAATAGCAGCGTTGCAAAGCATAATAATGTGTTATTATAGGCTTCTATGAAAACAGAAAAACTAGACAACTTTGATTGTCTATATCTTACGATTGAATAGACCAATCGTGCTCGCAGAGGTCTTAAAATAAAGAAAATAGGTTATATATTTACCTTTTGTTATTAGATTTTATATTTAATTTATAATTATTACCCAAAACGAGCTTAAAATGGGTTACTTTTAGGCTCGTTTTTTTTTCTTCAATTAGGTCAGCCATCTTAAATTTTACATTTCTAGCATTTTGTTATGTCTGTCTGGGAGCATATTTAGTTGCCTATAAAATGAGCCTAAGGACAATACAATCGATTTGTTAATAAACGAAATATATTAAAAAAAACAGAATTCGTTTTTGATGATCGTCCCGCCATATATTTATATACTTTGAAAAAACCCAAATAGTGAAGAAAAGTGCAAATAAGTGCACAAAAACTAAACGATTTCAAAAAGTACAAATAATATTCATTATGAAAAGTCGAAATTTAAAGCTTGGACTGCTTTGGAACACAACAAATAGCCTTCATGTATTTAAGAATATTTTAAAATTTTAACATTTAACCTTTATTTTACTTAACCCCAATAATATAAGATTACGTTTACTTTTCTACAACTTTTTACTTATTAAAATAATAATACATAGCTGAACTTAAAGGCTCCATGGCGGAAATTTGAAAAAAAAAATCCAAATACAGTCTATAATCACAGTACGAAAACAAGTTAAAAACTACAAAATAAGAATGAATATATACTCGCCTCAGATAAGTAACTTTGACTGAAGGTGGCGATGAAACGCGTGAGACAGAGGATCGCACTTGTTCGTTTTATTAGGTAGTGGACAGTAATATATAAGAAAAAAATATGAGGTAGAGTGTATATGCTATTTAATTTTTTTATTTGAGGGCTTGTTGCCTCAGTGTGCAGCGGTTGAAAATAAAAACGATGTCTACAAAGATTTTCGTTTTGACAAGTTTTAGCCTGAAACAGAACAATGGGACTATTACTTACCTACAAAGGTTCGAGTTAAAATTGGAGATGCATGGACTGATGACAAATGCAAATATTCAAGTAAGGCGAAATTTGCTTTTATTGAAGGTAGGTCCACATGTTTTTAAAATTTAGGTCGAACATTTTAAACCGGAAAAGTTAACAGATAAAAATTATAATGAACTCAAAGACGTTTTTACGGTAAAAAAGTGTACATTTTTGCCGAAAGAATAAACTTTGCTAGTTGTTTTCGAAAAGACAATGAAACGGTAACGGAATATGTAAATCGATTACGATCGTCGGCTGGAGACTGCAGTTTCGGAAACGGTCTAAACGAAAGAATGCGTGATCAGCTAATTTTCAGCATAAATAATCGTGAGTCGCAGGAAAAAAATATACAAAAACATTCTTCTAACGCTACAACTCTCGAGGAAGTTGAAGCTACTGCTAGTGTTCTT